ATTCTAGTACTTCCACCAACAAGAACAATCTCATCAATCTGGCTCTTCTGGAGTCCTGCATCTTCCATGGCTTTCTTAACTGGACCCATTGTCTTTCTGAAGAGATCATTGTTAAGTTCTTCGAACCTGGCCCTGGTTAAAGGCTCAGAGAAGTCAATTCCGTCAAAAAGAGATTCAATCTCTACACGGACTTGGTGCTGGTTGCTCAGAGCTCTCTTGGCACGCTCGGCTTCCCTTCTTAGTTTGCCAAGTGCACGGTTATCCTTGCTGATGTCCTTTCCATGTTTCTTCTTGATTAGTTTGATGAAGTATTCCATGATTCTCTGATCGAAGTCCTCACCTGCAGGAGAAAAGAAGTGAGCCCAAATACAAGAAATTACCTTTTCAGAATAACTTGTTATTGTATAAACTAAACAATGTCTATTTAAGGTTTTATTCTCTTGAGGACAGCAGTTGGAAGTTGGCGATTTTCGAAATGAACAAAAAAAAAAAACAAAATAGATTGTTTGACTGAGTGATGTTGGTCAAGATAATGACATCTCTACAAAGAGAGAGAACGCAATCTCTTATGATGACGTTGAGGTTTTATAATTATGATATGGATAGGGTTTACCAATAAACATGTAAGTTACATGGAATAAGAACATTACCTCCCAAATGAGTGTCACCATTTGTAGCCAAAACCTCAAAAACTCCATTATCAATGGTCAAGATACTGACATCAAAAGTACCACCACCAAGGTCAAAGACAAGGATGTTCTTCTCACCACCCTTCTTATCGAGACCATATGCAATCGCAGCAGCTGTGGGCTCATTGATAATTCTAGCCACATTCAAGCCAGCAATTACACCAGCATCCTTAGTTGCCTGTCTTTGAGCATCATTGAAGTATGCTGGAGCACGGAGAAGGATTTCCGTTAGGAAGAAGTACACTCATAATTGTAAAATTTTAATTAATTAAAGAGAAGAGCAACTTCACCTGGGACAGTGACAACAGCATCCTTAATTTTCTTCCCGAGGAATTCTTCAGCTGTCTCTTTCATCTTAGTCAAAATCATGGCGCTGATCTCCTCAGGACTGAAAACCTTAGTTTCCCCATCCTTGATCTTTACTTGGATATAAGGTTTTCCATCCTTGTTGACAATCTTGTATGGAACGAGCGTCATATCCCTCTGAACCTCCTTGTCTTCAAATCTATTAAGCGCACACAATTTAGTATAGTCAGAAAAATCAAATACATTTAAATAAGCAACTGTATGGAGGAACAACTTACTTCCGTCCAATAAGTCTCTTGACATCAAAAATGGTTCTTTCAGCGTTCACAGCTGCCTGATTCTTCGCAGCCTCACCAATCAACCTTTCACTGTCGGTGAAGGCCACCCATGA